ATTGCAGGATCACAATTTCTTCTCTCAGAAGATATTTGGCTCTTTCCGTTCAGAAGATGTGTCATTGTAGCTTCAAGAAAAGCTACTACTTAATATGATTTTTTTTTTTCCGATGTTGTCTGAATTTGTTAGTCCCTGTGACTGCTCTTCTGGCATTTCTTTCTTTTAGGCCTTTTCTGTCATTTTTGCTGTTGCACTGGGGTGAGGGATCTGGATTTGGCAGTATCCTGAAAGGTAATGGCATGGAATTAGGCCTGTTTTACAGATGGGTGTGTGAAGTGTGGAAACTGAAAGCTCACACTAAATCTGCACAACCAAACATGCAAAAGACTCCTCCTAAGTCCCCTTGTCACTTAGTTACCCAGAGCTTGCTCATGAAGAGAGGAGAGAAGCCCTATAGTCAAGAGCCCTTTGAAGAACATAAATTAAATTTCTACTCTGAATCAGTCTCAATGGGAATGAATGTGGGAGAAGCCTGCTACCCTCATTAGGGCCTAAAGATGAGTAGGTGAGGGCTGATCCTTGTGCAGATTGCCATTTCTAAAGAGCTGTCCACAGTTACTTGTTCAGGATCAAAACAAAACAAAATCAATCCAGATTTCCAGGACGCCTTTCAGCTGTTGATCTCTTTCCCTTCTCACAGCATCTTGTGTCTTCTAAACTCAGATATTCTGAAACAAGTGAGGCAGTGTCACACATAATCTCAACACAGCCAAGGCTCATTTCCAGGGCAGCTTCATTCTTTATCCCAAATAGGTAGAGGCAGGAAAAACAAATATCAACATAAAAGATTACTGTTTAAATATTATAAACTACACATGTGAAAGGATCTATTTTATTATTGTCACTTTAAATTTACCATTTTCTAACTGTTGAATCTTGATTTTCTTATGTGAATATTCTTGTAGGGCAGTGAACAAATGCTGCAGGTTAACAGAGGAAATATCAAAAGGACAAAGGTGTGAAATGTGGACATGAACCAGTCTTAGATACAAGTCATTTGAAATAAATGATTTGTGGCCTCTGTAGCTCAGTAAAAATATGTCCTAGCTCAGGTTTTTGTTCCTGTAGGTCCCATGAAGTTCCCACAATGTGAGATCTCTCTGTGAAAGCCTCAGAGCCTGACCCTTCTGAACACATGCAATGATGAATCTTTTGCTGGTTTGTTCTGGTTTCTTTTCCTGTAGGTGAAGATGAGGATGAGTTTGAGAATTTCCTGCTCCCCCTCACAGTTTGATTTAAGGTATCACTCAGATACTGAACAGTAGTTTTGAACAAGAAGAAACAAAGGCAGGTTTATTTCTATTACAGGGTAAGAAACAATGTGTGGGAAGAGCTGATTGTGGGGCAAGCACTCAGCAGCAAGCTTGGCACCTCTGCTGCCAGTCTCCCTGGACACCTGTGTATCTGTATGTGGGTGTCTATACCTGAATACATCTGTTTAATTAGGAATTTAGACAGCAGAGGTACTAAGGTTGTGAATACTATCCTAGATAAACTTTGTACAACGATTTTTAAAGGCATTGGGATTTCTCCAGTGTTTTGCAGATCAGGGAACCCCATTTAAGGCTCATTTATAATCAGAGACAAATTCTTCTTCAGAGATAGCTTATCTGTTCCATATTCCCATTTTCTATACAAGTATCCTCTTTGTGTATATTAACATATTTATGTGGGGGTATGAGGAGACATGTAATACACTTGATAAAACACTGCTGGTTTAAAGTATTTTTTTCCAAACAAGAATTTATTATATAAATCAAGACTTTATTAAATGGCTGGGCATATATGTATAAATTGGAACGGGTCTTGAAGTATTGCACCCTTAAACTGAACAAAGTGATTAGGATAACTGATAGCTAAATAAGGTTTTTATGTGCCTGTGGGAGCCATATTAGGATTGATTTGACAAGGCAGTTCAGCTGTGGCAACAGTCATAATATCTAACACAACATTATGTTTTATTAGTAAAATCCTTAAGTGTTTGTGTCAAAACAACAGTATATTTTAGGGAAGAAAAAGACTTACTGGATAGAAGGCGCATCATCAGGAATGATAATATATTGGAGCACTCTTGCATTAAAGAGATCTTCTGCCATCACTGAATCAATAGTTAACTGCACACTGGAGTGCTCACTTCAGCTAAACAGGGTCGTTTTGAAGAAATCCTAACAGTAATTTTTAATTTGCTATTTTAAAATATGGTGGCAACTGAAATATTGCTTCATAATATTTATCTGCTTTTTTCACAAGGAAATAAACAGTTGTGCTGGAAGTATTTGGTAAATAATTGGCTGCAGTACGTGGCTGACAGTACCAGAAGATGTGCAGTTCATAGTCATTGCTTGAATTAGGACGATATTTTTTTTTAATTGTACTAAGGCTTATTTCAACAAATACTTAAATCTGGTTTCCTCTTTGTTATTGCTTTATGTATTTAATTGTAATCACTTTTCATGTATAAAATAGACTCAGTTCACCTGTCTTGGATTCACCTCTCCTATGTTCAAGTTATAAATCCTAAAAACTAGAACAAGGAGGTCATTTGGTGGCATAACCATTTCTGTAGGAAACTGGATTCCTCTTGTGTGAGGATTCAATTTATTAGAATAATTTTGCCATTGTCCTGTCTGGATTGCTTGAAACTGTCTTAGTAGAAAAATTTTAATGGAGTGCCAGTGATATATTCCTAAACTAGCAAGTTCTTAACGACCCTGGAAAGTGACTGCTTGATTACACTTTAACGGTATTTGCAAATAAAATCACAAGTAATTAAGGGGAAATCTCCAGGCTTTTGAGCAAGTTTGATGCATGATAACTGCCTGATTCAGCTTCATCTAGAGTAATGCTGTGTAGACAAGAGCTACTGAGATCAATAGCAACATAATGATAGTGGCAGAATTAAGTGAGTAACCTGAGAACTATGTCTTCACAATGCATGCAGCTGCCACCAGCCAGGGCCACACAGTGCACTCCTGCTTCCGTCCTAAATGTTCATCAAAAGACGCCCTGCAGGAAAATGGAGTTAGATGCTCTTTATTGCTGATCGTGTCTCTTGCCACATTTATCAGGGAAATTGGATTAGCAGTTGGCAGCTGCAGGTAGACAAGGTTCTGTAGTGATTAAATATGCAGCTTGGCTGCATTTGTTGTGACAGACCTTTAGTAAATTCTACTGTAAGCACCATCTGTCTGATTTGTATAAGGAAAACTTGGTGCTTTAAGCTACTGATAAAGAACTAAACGCTTTATCATAAAAAAAACCCAAAACTTTTGCTCTAAATTATCTTAAACACAATTTATTACATTAAAGCTATTTTTTTCTATCATAATAAATAAATAATACATGCAAAAAGGCTTTCAGGTACTTCATTTTGCAAGTACTGAAAACAAAAACAGTTCAGTTCTTCAATAAAATGCTTACTATTGCCATCCACGGGGAGATGACACTGTTAAAATATCACTATGAAAATGGTCCAGGACTGCCAAACTAATTTAATTTGTAGGTTTTACTAGGACTTTCTAACTGGCTAGGGTTTTTTTAGGTTTTTAATATTTCTGAAATACGCCTGATAAACAGTTGTAACAAGAGAGATCTTTCTTTTAAAAATAAATTTGTAACCATTATATCTGCATACTAAGCATATGGTTAGGTTTCTTTTTCAGGGATATCAAATGTAATTGAAGATGGCTGAAGTCATTATGCATGTTGCTTTACTTTTTTCTTTTTCTTTTTCTTTTTTTTCTTTTGTCTTGCAACTTTCTTCTTCATGTTTTTATATTAATAGGAAAAATGTCCAGTATTAAAACTGCCTAATTTTCTCCTAAGAATGTCAAGATTTCTCTTGACAATGTGGGTAAGGAATCTATTGCCTGGGCAGTTCGAATCTCAGCAGTACTTTGTTTATAGTTGTGACATCATCAGATTTGCTACGAATGCATGGAAAAGGGATCTGAAGAAAAAGCAGTTAAATAGCAACATGCTATCTTTAGCTGGTTTGTAGAAACTCCATGCTGTTAAATTATTTAAAATCGTTGATTTTCAGCTTGCACACATTAAAAGTTTTCACACTAAGTGCCAAATGTTGCAAACAGCACTTTAACAGAATGATTTTGCTTTGATCCCTGTAGCAGTTCCTGAATAATTTATCACAGGTTATTGCCTTAATTCTGGAGAGGGATAGAGCAATAAAGGCAGATGAAAACACTCCAGTTGAAACACCTTGGGGCCTGCTCATTCCTCTGACACGGCTCTTTTGTTGGAACTATTTAGAGGTTATTAAGACGTGTCTCTAGAATTAAGAGTATGCTGTAAGGATGAAGACAGCCATCTTAATTCTAAAGACAAAGCACAATGACCCTTCACCTTTTTTTTCCTTTGTTGTTATTATATAGTAGAATTATGAGGGTAATATTATAGCTGCACCCAGTAGTGCCACTATAGTTAAGGGTCTGTCAGACTTTCCATTACCAGCCCTGTTTTGGGGATGGTGGGTGTGAGCAGACTCATGTGTTTTAGGTGGCCTCAGTCAGACACTTGGCACATTTTGGCAAGTCAGAGGGGCTTTTCTGGGAATATTTACATCTCCAGCTTCTCTCCCTTTAAAAAAAATCATTGAAAAATGAGCTTCAGGACTCTGAAACAAAATACCTGAATTTATTTTTTAAATGTCTTTTTTATAATTAAATCTTAAGGAAACCTGTCACTGACATTCAGAGAAGGATATTCTGAAGCTGAAATCTGCACAAAATTGCCTCATTAGTGAGAAGAGGACTGTATAAAACCCCAGAATGCTGACAAGCTCCTTTTGCTGTGTTTCCTGTATTTGCTGTTCTTTACTCCTCCTCTCACTCTTTGACCACTGCTGGTGGTGCCATTTGCTGTCCCATTGCCCCAGGAAGGGCAGGGATGCAGCTGGGAAAGGAGCAGCAGCCTCAGGTATTCCTGCCATCACTGGGAAATTTGAAGGGCACTCTGGATCCCATGGGATGTAAAAACAGATGTAAAAGTATGTAATCTCGTTGGTCATTAATACATTTTATGTACATAAGTGCTATTTGGTTACTTACAGTAGACTAAAACTAGATTCTCTTGGGATTTTAGGAGTTTGGGGGTAGGTCCTTACTGAATGTGAAATAAGCAAACATGGAATATAGCTTGATTTTTGCTCCTATTGGAGTTTAAGAGTATTTTGCACCAGTGGCTTAAATGGATCAGGATTCAGCTCGGGATTCTGGAGGCTATTCTGTGGGCTGTTCATCTGGTGCTGGCTGTGGCAGTGATCTTACACAGCTGAGTTCCGATGGATCCTATCTGAATCACTGCTTTGCTGGGATTTTACAGAACAAGAATATTAAATCTAAATCTTAGATTTTGCAGATTGAGGTAATTTATTAAGAAGTGTGGTTATGGGCTTTTAAGTAACAATATCTCAATTTAAAGAATAGAAAACCAGAAAATGTGGGTTTTGTACACGTTGTTCTTTCACTGGAATTCAAGGTGTCTGAAGCTGCCTAGTGTTCATGTAGGCTCCCAGCAACCTGGGACTGCAGTTCAAGGAAAGTTGGGCATCTACTTTTATTAATAGTTTTTGAAGTCGCGCAGCCAAACTGTTTCTTAAATAGATTTGCAAAAGAGTGTTTTCTTAAGCTGTTTTTTGTAGCGAGAATAAACCTGGTGGTGGCCTGTGGGTTGGGTTGTCCTTTTCTAGCCCATGTCCCACAAAGCCACATGAAGGGAGCTTTTTGTCCCCAGCAGTGCCCGCTCAAGGGAGAGTTCCTGTCTTGCCATGGCCATGGTGGCTCCCCTTCTCCCTTGCCCCAGACTTGCTTTGTGCAGCCTTGTTATCTCCTTTTTTGTGGCTGGTATGGGCAAGGGAGCCAAAATCAGAGTGGAACATTTCCACTTCTTGTATCGATTGCTGCATCCCTGGCTGCCTTCAGAGATATGTATAAAGTATTGCTGCCAAGTTCTTTTAATTCTTGATGTTTTGGCCACCTTTTCTGCTGAACAGTGATTTTCTGTGCAGACAAAACAGTACACCAAGTATGAAAATACAGATGGCTATAAAGTTACAATTTTATATTGCATCTTCTCAGTATTGAACACTTCCTCTCTAGTGATTTCAGAGTCCCATTAAAGTTAATGAGAGTGGAGACCTCTGAGCATCTTTGTGAGTTCAGGCCATTTCAATGCACAACAGAAAGGAAATGCAAATATTAAAATACTCCCAGCAACCTCAGTATTCTTTGGTAAAGAACTCCATTTGTTCTGGGATAAATCTATGTCTATGTCACCCAGGTCAGCCAGGCTGATTGGTTTATATATGAAAAGTAGAAATTAGCCCTGGTCTGAGCTCACATGGAGCAGTTTACAAGGCATCAGCCATAATGTATTCTTTGTGTGATCAAGTAAAAAAGTATGTGACTGTTATTTTTTGTATTTGTCAGCACTAAAAACATTGCAGTGGTAGCACCAAGTAGTACATTACTGAAAACACTGGGTTTAAAGAGGGAACTCCTTACTTTTTGCCATGGTTCTATGATTGGTTTTTTTCCCCAGACTCTGTAGAACTGTAACCTTTTTTTGTAAAAAAAGAGAAGTACAATCCCACATGCAACTTAGAGAAGAATACTTATGTGTGAGTAAATCAAAAAGTTTGTTTATGTTGTTAAAATATTTTTCATGCACTGGTGTTTCTTATTGATGTCTATTAATTATCCTGAAAACATCCCCTTGGTAGGGGCTAATTATCTGCATACAGTATGGTCTGCATGGGAGCAGGTAGGATTCTGCAGCCACACTTCAGTCATCAAAGGGGAAAAAATGCACCTCAGAACTAATGTTAACACAGGCAGAGATTTGCATAGCTTCCTCTAAACTGAGAAGTCATTTTTTGAAGACAACTTACTTGGAAAATTACTTAAAAGAACCCCAAGAAAACAACGAAAGCTATGTTAAAATAACAGTACGATGGGAATCTCAATGCAGCCTTAATTGGAGCTTGTTATGAGTATCAGTTAGTCTTACACCATTCAAAATATTACAAGCTTAAATTAACATTTTATTGTTATTATCCCTTTAAATGTATTAATACAGGAAGCACTTTTAAACGTTAATACATAGTATTCATATATAATGTTTTAATTTGTATTATTCATTGTGAGAGCATATTGAATAATCCAAAGCATTTCCTAAGCATTTTCCTAATGTCAGCACTAGAAAACTTGTGGAAATCTTTTTTCATTCGAGGATCTTTGTATTTTTTCTGAAGAAAAAAAAAAAAAAAAAGGCAGATATGAGCAAGACATTTAAGCTAATGAATCAAAATCAGCTATGTGCCATTATTGGCTGATTATTGCTCCATCTGCTCAGCGCTAAGGTGAAAATCAATTAGGGAGTCTCCCCCGCCGGCAGCGGCGCTGGGCGCGGAGCCTCCCCGGGGACACGGACCGGCCCTTCCCTGGGGCTGGAGCATCCTCCCTTTGGACATCCCCAGCGTGGGCATAAACAGGAAAAAACTCCAAACCCGTGTCTGTAATTCCAAACACAATGTACCTACATTTGATTTAACATCAAAACTGCTTAAAAAATATCATACAAGTGCTATCTGGGGAGATTTCTTTCTCTGGTATGAATCGTGTCTTTAATTTAGTCAGTTACTTTCTATTTATGTCAAGTCTATTAATATCACAACACCTGCAGTTGTCTTTTCAGAAGAAAATGGACTTTTGCAAACAAAATCAAAATCATTACGTTGTAGTTTTCTTCATTAAGTAATGATAATGAGCTCTGCTTGTTTTAAATATTGTATACATTTTAGACTAGCATGTACAATATTGCCCCTGGGTATTTTCTTAACCCTACAGAGAAATGCTTTGTATTCTTATAAATACAGTAGCTGTAGCTCTTTTTCAGGCACACAGTCATGCTGGAAATAAATTGCGGAAATACATAGTGAGAGATTATGAAAATATTTGGTTTATAATTTAGGTCTCACAAAACTATGAAAATTAATTATGTGTTTGCTTTATAGGAAAAAAATAACATTTAAGAACAATCATATGATCTACAAGAAACCAAGCTTTAAAAATATTTTTATTTTAAGTCAGTTGTGAAGCTCTACTCTTCACTAATAATCTTCTTGATTAAGAAAAGGAAATGCATCAATATCAAATCACAAGTAGGAAATTATCCTTTCAGGACTGCCAGGCTGTACAGGCAGTACAGCCTGATGATCTGAGTGCCATCCCTGGGTGCTGGGGAGTAGGATCCTGATGACCACTCAGAAATCCCTGTTTAAGACCCTTACAAGCCTGCAGGGATTTTGTCTGTGCAGGGTCAGTAGTAAGAAAGTAAATCCAAAACAGAAAGCAGTGTAATCGTTATTTCTCCTAAAATCAGTGAAAGGTATCCCTTATTTTCAGTTTTAGAAGACTGAAGGGGGAAAAAAACCCACAACAACAAAACCAGCAATAAACCACCCAACTCCTGAGGCCAGACTGTGAATTAGCATCTCATTTCCTAATGGGCACCACTGGGTACATTTAACTTCGTTAGTACTATTTGTGCTTGTGTTACCCTAAAACTTCATAAAATTAGGAAGATGTGTAAAAGCAGATCAGTTCTGCTTCCATTCCAGGTTGGTTTGACTTTGTCTTGCCTTGTGTACCACGAGTGTCATGCTCCCTTGCAGAACTGCAAACCTCCAGCTGTGGGAGGAGTAATAGCATCTTACCTCTGCTCCTCTGGAAAGAAAGGGATGCATCCATGGAGATGGCTTTTATGGAAGGATCCAGAATATACAATCCTCAGGACCCTTTCTTGATTTTTAAAAATTAATTTATTCCTTCCACTTAATGTATTAAGTTCATTTCAAATAAATAAAAGCAGCATCCAAATTTTGGATTTCAGCATTCTGTATTCTCAGTCAAAATACATGGACATGTAGGTTTGTGTGGAATTCAAGGCTCAGGCCTTCCCAGTTTCTTTTCCCTTGCACAGGTTCAAAATGTTTTTCCTCCTCCTCTTCATGAGGAAAAACCCTTTTTCTCCTCCCTTTTCAGCTCCCCTTCAGGAGAAGAGCATGCTTCTGTTCAGTGGATTTCTCCTCATTCAGACAAGTCCAGCTGCATCCAGGTATTGATCCCAAGCATTACAGCACAATGAGCTGCTATGATCACAACTCTTATTTACTGCATTTAAAACAAAAAGGTAAATGGGAAAAGAAGGGAAGGTCAGGTACCAATTTTATTGTATCAAGTTTAAATATCCTTTGATTAGCATGTTTCTTTTTTAGTTTCAAATATATCATCAGAAATGGGGTTTAATAGTGAAAAAAAACCTGTTTTACAAAGAATTTTTATTCTGTTTGAGGCCCCAGTATTTCAATATTGAAAATGGGAAACCCAGAATACTATAAAAAATAATGTCTGTTTACTTACATTTGTTCAATTAATAAACAATACAAAGAGGCGAGAGATAAAAGACTAAGCTTTTAATATATCTTAAGGTGATGTTTATTCTGTATTGAATACTAGCAGAAGAAGTTACTTATAAATCATTGTTAGAAGAATGTCTTGATAAACTTTTCAAGTGATTGTAGGAAATACTTTGGGTCTGAGGCATGTCTGTAAGAAAACAAATGACACTGAGTAATCTCTCACCTGATCACAGTGTTTAGGATTTAAGCTTTGTCCAGTAGATGGCAAAAATGAGCAGAAATAATTTCTTTGAAGTCCTTTTTGTCCAGGGAAGAGAGAGGGAAGGCAGGGCACTGTTGTATTTTAGCACCAGGATGGAGTTGTCCGGCTCCTCCTCAGAGGAGCATTGCAGGTACACCAGGGCTGTGCTGGGCTGCCAAACAGGGCTGCTCTGTAGCAGGTTTGCTTATACTAATTGAGTTTCTCCAGCAAATCAGGCTCCTTGGAAAAAGGCCAAAGGCTTTTCATAATTGTATTGACAAGAAAATGAATATGATAAATGGTGTTCATTCAGCTGAGACAAGATTTATAGTTTTCCTCTGGCAAGGGATGAAGAGAAAATATTTATAATAATAGTAAAATTTGTTTTTACATTGTATTAGGTGATCTCTCAAAAGACTTCATTAAAATATTTCCAAATATTTTAAGCAGCTTCAGGTGTTAAGTGTAGCATCTTCCCAAGTATCAAGTAATGAACAATAAAAAAAAATAAAAAAAAAAAAAAACCAAACAAAAAAACCCCCAAAAAACCAACAACAACACACAGACAAACAAACCAAACCAAGAAAACCAACCCCCTGGATATGAAAGTCATTTATTCTTCCTGAAATATTGATATGTCAAGCTGTCAATGATGATTGCAATACCACAGCTTGGGAAAGTTTATTTGTCTTTTGTATTCAGAACATGTGAATTCTGTAGTTTGTTGGTCAGGTCTGAATGAGCAGGTGTGCCCTTGGCAAACCCTGAGCACCCACAGGTAGACAGAAAACCAGGTTTTCCCCAAACAGTGGTGATTCTCCTTAGATATTTTAGTCTACTTCCAGGCTGCCTGGGTAAGATGTCGAGTGTTTAATCTGTTTTTTCCATACTAATACCAGAATGCAGTCTAAGGTCCTTAGTCTGGAGTAAGATACGTCCATGAAAATTCAGTTTTGAGTTCAGGGAAATATCTACCTTTTTCTTCTTTTCACTTGGTGTTTCTTACAGTTACGTGGTAACCTAGAGCAGTCCTTTCCTGTGTTCCTCCCAGCTGATGCTTGGGTTTAAGGATTTCTGTTCTCTCCAAAAGAAAGAGGTTGCAATAAGAAAATGTGTTGGAAGAATGAAATCATTAGGTTTACTCAGAGCTCAGAGTTTACTCAGAGCTGCAGTCAGCTCGATCACACCTGATGTCTGTGGGTGAGTGCATGAAGCTGCCTGTAGAAAATACCTGTGTGTACAGACACAGACACCGAGCTCACAGAGAAGTGACCTGCCAGGGACAGGGTTCATCTCATGCTCATTTAAAAATTGTGGTTGAGCTGGATACTGGGCTGGCTGATCCTGTGCTGCTCCAGCTGTGGATTACTGGGACAAGCAGGACAATATTTTCACCAGACTAACCATGTTACATATTTGTCCAAATTCATATCATAATACTTAACCAAATAAAACCATTAACAATAGTAAGATGGCTTCTTCAACGTTATTCTGATTTTGGAAAACTTAATTTTTGAGTTGTGTGTTTTAACTATTCAGGATTAGGTACAAGCTTGAAAGATCCAAACGCCTGCAGAGACTGAAGTTTCCTAATCACAAGAAGAGAATGCATTTCTCATGAAGCAGCAATCTCTTTGTAATAGCAGTTATTGCCCACTTACAGGGACTTGAACCTCAGTATTGTTTTTTGCAGCTTGAATTCCTTTGAGCTTGAACTGACTGCTCAGGTTAAGTTCATGCCTTAGCCAGATTCCTTGAAGCTTGTGGTTAGAAACACTTAAAAATAATACTCTGATTAAAACCAGTTTATTCCATCTTATTTGATTTATAAAAGAAGCAATAAATTGCCAAAGCCTTTCTGTTGACCCTGGCTTTTCTAAAATTTAACTGTAGTTTCCAGTCTTTCCTGGTCAATGAATATGGACTCAATGCTTCAAGTTTCTGAATTAAGATGTATCCTGGATGTATCAGCAGCCTTTGCAGCTGGCTTTCATTTTGCTTGGAGGGTTTGGCTGTCAATTTACTCTCCTTGCCATGAAATCTGAAAAGGTGATTGTTTTCTACCCCATGAAGTTCCACAGTGAGGCTGTGCAGCATGGCAGCCTCTCCCTGCAGTGCCATGGGGGTGCTCAGAAGGCTGAGGAATGGGGATAACTCAGGAGAATTAGTAGCACAGCTCAGTTCTGCAGCTTACCTGGCATCTGCTGCATTTGGAGAATTGACCATCCTCTCTTGAGAGTGAGCTGTATTGGAAGTCTACCTTCCAAAATGCAGCTGCCAGTAGTGAGCTTTTAGAGGTATGAGATGACGTGGGTCATCTGTGTCCTTTGAGAGTATTTTGGGTAAGTGAGATTTGAATTTAAATCCCAGTTTATTACTGGACAGCTCTTCATGGTGTATTTAACACATTTGCTTGATTCAAAATGTGAGGAACTCCATAAAGGAGAGAGAAGCAAGGTCCAAAATACATTTCTCATGTCAGCCTCTTCCCCTCTATAGTTCAGCTGCAGAGCCTGGGGCAGGTGGCTGCAGGATGTAGCAGTGTGGAGCTGCCTCAGGCAGCAGCAGCCCATCCATCTGTCTGTCTGTCTCTTTGTCTCTCTGTCTCTCTGTCCATCTGTCCATCTGTCCACGCAGTGCTGCCGTTGCTTGGCAGGGCTGTGGCTGGGCTTCATCTCCAACCCAGAATGGAGCCAAACCATGGCAGAGCTGGAGCTGCGTGGCCTGGAACTGTGAAACCCTTCTTGTATATATATATATGTATGCAAATCCATTGAGTTAGTTTATCATGTAATTGCACTCTGTAATAGCAGATGTGTGGGATTGTTTCTTTGTTTCTTTTAGAAGTGAATCCATTGCTGTGTTCAGCACTGAAGAAGATCCGAATATTTTTCTGTTATTTTTTAGATCACAGCATTTAAGTGTTGATGGATCATCTCCAAATAGAATTATTATCTTCAGAGAAGCCAGAAAAGTGGTCTGTATGTTGGTAGGTATTCATTAATGGTTCCTCTGCCATATAATCCTTTGCCTGGCTTGTGATGTAAAAGTCCTGTGCGTTGTTATTGCTGAGCAGGGGTGGATCTGGGGAATCCACAGCAGGACTGTGAGGTGCTGCAGCCAGAGCCACCTTGGCAGTGCAGGGCTCAGGCCTTGGGAGCTCCCACCCCCTGGCCCGGGGTTCTCTGCTGTACCAGGGCTGCTCGTGTCACCTTTAACCCGAGGCTGCTCTGGCAGCTGCAATGTGTTCCAGCAAAGATACTCCCACTGTGTGGTGTTTGATCCAGGCTGCTGACTGATAGGGGTGGGATGATTTTATGGATTCAAATGATATTCCAGCACTTCCAAAACATAACAGGCCATAACAGCTCTACCCTAGAGCACTGTTAAAAGTGTTTATAATAAGTTGCTCCATTTTACTACTCCCACTCATGCCTGAAACTGCAACAGGTCTCTGACACTAGCAGTTGGTATTACACCCCAACTGACATTGCAGATGATTTTGCTTTCTCAGTATTTAGAAAAGAACATTGCCAAGTGTTTATAGAGAAACCTCATTTGTAGTTTGTGTAAACTGGAAAAGCCATTAATGGCTTGTTTCATTTAAAGAAAGAAAATTGGCCCATCAAAGTTGCTTTTATTGCATTCAGGCTGATTTTTGGGTTTGGAAGTTGTTACATGGCTGCCTTTATAAAAAACTTCAAATGTGATGTTGCATTTGATCTGTTGGACGTGGAAACAGTATCTGTGCAATGCCTAAAGCATTTATTTGTAACAAAAAAAAATTACACACCAGTAACTTTCAGTTTTTGCAAAATAATCTTTGTTTCTTTTGCAAATGTACTATGTTGTAAGTGACCAAAATTTTTCATCTGTGTTCTTAAGTAAATTTGTTAAAATTATTAAGCAAAATAAAAAATAAGCTTTGAAAATGTGTGAAAGATAAAAGGCAAATCTTTAGATGATCTAAAACTATATAAACTGTAGTCATGATGATGATTCAGCCCTATTTGTTTTATGGTACCTGATCACACTGCAGTCATATTTTCCTTTTCCATTTTTTATTTTAATTTATTTCCATCAGCTTCACCATCCTTTCTGCACTTAGGAAAAACATAACCATATTATTGGGCATCCATTCAGCTCAGTTGTTGGCATCAAATTTCTAAACCTTGCTGAGCAAACCACACGAGTTGTTTTCAACCTGCTTCATTCCTAATTCATTCCTAAAAAATCCCCAAAAACCTTTGTAAAGAAACCTTCTGTTTTCAATTGCAGCTTTTATGGTGTGTATGCAGTTGATAAAATTCCCAGCCCTAAGGTATTGGTAGCTGTTACACATAAGGAGCAGACAGCATTTTCTGACTCATGCTGGGATTTAATTGTGCAATGTAAAAGGGAATCTGAGCCCAGTGCAGATCTAGGAGTAAAAACCGAGCAGTAGAGCCATGAGGTCTGTGGGAGCTATGTCCAAAGTCTGATCACCCTCTTCACTGAAGTATGGGAGAGATCCTTAGGACTGTGTGACATCTCCTCAGAGGTGTGCACCACGGAAAAGGCAAAGTGAGCAGAGAATCACAGACTGGGCTGGTTTGGAGGGACCTGCTAAAGGTCACTGAGTACATCCCCTGCAATGGGCAGGGGTATTATCAACCCCCAAGAGCTTTCTCCTGTGTCCTCTTCCATGTATTTCATAACTGCTTTCCTAGGGAAGGATGACGTTTCACTCAGCACAGGTTTAAGAGGAGTACTGTACTTGATCTCCTCCAGAAGAAACATTTAAAATCACCCATCAACTAAAAGCAGAGAAAAAATGGAGATGTGGAAGAGAACACCCCCCCCCCCCCCCCCAGTGTCTGTGTGGGAGGTTTATTTTGCTTTAAAACATGTGAACATGTGAACATCAGGCTCCCGTCAGTGATCCCTCTAGTACTTAGGTGGGACCTAAGAGGAATTGTTCGGGTTTTCTGTTGGGGGAGTGACTGCCAGGACTTACTCTGGGGCAGAGCCCGCTCACGAGCCTGTCCAAGTGGGAGCAGGGATTTCACAGGATGCAGCTGGCACAGCTGGCACAGCTGGCACAGCTGGGCAGCACAGCCTGGCCATCACACTGCTGGGCTCTGGGTACTGGAGTGAAGCCCCACTCAGCCCCCTTTCACACTGCTCTGGGAAGGTTTCCAGGGTTCCCTGCTCACTGTAAATATTTCAAGATATTACAACTGATCAGCACTGAATAATGGTTGTTAGCATTTTTAGCTTTTGTCACCAAGTGGTAGCTTCTGAGATTTCTATTCCAGTGTACAGAAAGATGTAACTTCTGGAAATGTGCTTCATTAATGAAGTATGATATTTTGAAATTACAGATTCCTATAAAAGTACTGTTATATAGGAATTCTGCATTATTTTTCAAAGCCTTCCTGAAAATCTTAATGATTTTATTTTTAAGGACCACTGTAATCTATAATACTCTATGATCTTTAAAGTGTATTTTTCTTTTAAGCCTATGTAATCTTGTCAGACATCTGGGGAAAAACAAACAAGTCAACCAAGTCATGATCATAAAATTCACTTTGAGTTCTTGAACAATGTTTCCAGACACTGAATTTTCCAATTCGGAATAGTTGTGTGATTCAGATAAAAGAATAAACTCATACATGCCTTCCAATCCTCAGTTGGACTCAGTTTCCAAGTTTTCTCCTATACCATTCTTCCAAGTAACTTAAAATCACAAAAATAGTTGAGATTCTCTCACTCAGCATGATTTTATGACTGAAGTATTAGAAAAAAAAAATAATAGAAGATGCACAGCAAATGTCAGGAGATGACACCAGACAGAATGTGCTCATTTATCTTACCAAGTCAGCCAGACCTTTTGTATGTGCCTGCAGCTTATGGTGAGCTCCTCAGAGCTGATCAGAGACACATTTTAACTCAAGATAGATTTGACTGAAATTTATATTATAATAATTTTCTTTTTAGACGGGGAGAAACACAAGGTAGTGGCATGAGGCAGAGGGGGGAAGCAAGCAGCTCCTTCTTTCCTCACACTCTGCTTTGTGGGAAGGTGCTTCCTTTCTGCCTCTGTCTCAATTAATCCACTGACTGAGAGGATTGCCATAAACTCTGCCCAGGCTCCTCTCATCCCTAGGAAGTTCTCTTTTCCACCACGTAGAGCCCTGGCAAACCCCTGTATGAGCACCTGGCTTCCAGCTCTGGAGCCTCTCCCCTCTCCTCCCTGCCATGCCCCTGACACTGAGAGTTTCTGTCTCTGGCTCTGTAGGGAAAGACTTGGTCCCTCTCTACAGACAGTGCAGCTCAGCCTGGCTGCTCCTTTTTCTGGAAAGAAGAGAACATAAAGCAATAAATGAAAATATGTTCATTGTATTGTGCTTCCGTTGGTAAGTGAAATTTAAATTTGTTTTAGAACAGGATATTTCCTCCTCTTTCATATACAGTGATATATAGAAAATGCATGTAAAGGTATTGTTTTCAGGAATTTCATTTGCACCAAATGAAACACAAAAAATTCTGGTTAAGTCCTAGATCAACTGGGAGTTTTGCTTGCTATGTAAACCTACAGGTACATACAAGTGGGATCTGAGATACACCTCTGTCCAGTTAACACTTTGACAAGGAATTAGTGACTGAAGTGAGGTGCATCAAGTGATTCTTCACACCCACGGTGGTGATTGCTGACATCATATGCATTCTACCTGAGTCTGGACTATACCAATCAAGGCAGTTTTGGGTAACACAGAGATACTTCACACATATGGCCTTCTTCAGGTGATGCAAATCAGCTAAAATGTATATGTGGTTTTGTTCTGTGTGGGTCCTGTACTGCTGTGTGGAGGAAATAACTGCAGAAATTACTCAGAAAAAACCATTGGTCATCCAGCATGTTGCTTTCTTTTTATCTATCTTCAGTTTAACACAAGTTTGTGATGTCTATTTGTGTCTGAATGATCCCTCCATTTAATTTCTCTAAGAGCTGTAAGGTCTGTGCTTGGGCTTAAGAGAGAAGGGAAAAAAAAAGGTAGAACTGTTTGGGAAGGGTGAACATACACAAAAGCTTGTGAGTCAGGATGCTGAAATCTTTATTATTAGACAGGAGTAGAGACTCTTTTTTCCCTAGACTGGCATATAGTGATTTCATGTTTGAGTACAAAGCAGAAAACACCCCCAAATTCCTGTTTTTAAGATATGCAAGTGTGTTCAGTTGTCAGGGAGTAAAATTCAAAAGATTAATTTTTCTGTAGTTTTGAAGAGGAGCACCTCAGTGAGTGCTGAGCTGTGCCACACAGATCCAGCTGCGTGCTTGGGGGTGCGCTGGTGTGTCCTCTCTTGCGGCTCATTTATCACTGATCCTGTGCTGCAGACAGTTCTGGGATGCCTTTGCTAATGTGATCTGCTCAGAAGATGGGAAGCCTGGCATAGGATGCACTTAGTCAGGCACTTATCCTTGTTGGGGCTCCAGAGCTTTTTGGCAAGGGCTGTTGTGTCTTGTTCATTATGGCTGGAGCCGGTCTGGGGGCACGATAGTTATTTAAAATAAACAGCAGACAGAATTGAGAGGAGTTGGAATAGTGTAGTTCACCATTCCTCATCCCCAGTATATTTCACTTTTAATTCTGTATGTACATGTCTCCTTACCATGTGTTTTTGAACTCCCAGTGGTACAGGAATGATGTTTCAATGCATCTTGGCACCATCCATTTTTTGTTTTGCGGTTTCTTTACATTTTAGTAAGCCTCTTCCCTTTCATTAGAAGAGGCTGACATAAAAATAATATTTTCAATATGCTGTTTTTATTTATCTACATTCTGTCATGATATACTTTGATGTAAGTTTTTAATTTTGCTTCAGCTTTCAGCTGCTGTAGCAGTTACTGCTAAGGGTCAGCGAGGAGGTTAGCCACAGTAGCACAAAACAATTTCCTGTGCTCACAGCTCAGGTAGCATTTGGATGTGGATTAAATTTTACCACATTTTCCAGTAGCCAGACACAATTATTTCTAATGAGCTTTAAATTGCTTCCAGAACATGTATTTCAAAACTTAGTGTGGTAATCCATTCAGTGTCAACTTCATAAGATAACGGGTCTTCTTCAAAATTTTGGTTTAACGGATTCTTGCAGTCTAACAGGTATTTCTCAGCAACAGCTGAGCTTGGCAGTGGCATGCTCGGTGCTCTAAGCTGTGCTGCTGTGCCCTCCTCATTCCTGGAGTGGTGGTTCCACAATATATTGTGCTGCATTCCTAACTTGTGTTTCAGAATTGCTTTATTTCAGCAAATTTATCTTGGTGTTGGACATACTCATTGTGCTGATTTGACAGCTTTTCTGCACATTTTGTTGTTGTGGAAGCTTTTAAAAAATCACTTTTTGAAGCTCTCTCTCATCTTTATGATTCACATTTTCTGTTTTTGTCTGGGCACTTCTTTGCACTGCCCAGCATTCTGAATGCCTGGAAAGTGTAGCTCAAGCCATCTTTATGGCAGTGGTGAATAATAAAACTAGGAAAGGGGAAAAGGCAAAAACCACTTTTTCTCTATAAATATGATACGTTCTCACAACCTTTGTTTAATCTCACCAAATTCTTTTTATATCTTCATTATTATCATCCAAAGTGCTTATTGGTTTGAAATCTAGAACAAGCCCTGCTGCAATGAACTCAGCCATAAGGAAATCATTCTGTGTTACAGCTTCTCCTGTAAAAGCAATGAGGGAGAAGAGCTGAAGGGCAATCTGTGTGTGCTGACATCTCCCACATCCAGGGGAGGGAGGGAAGGGGTGGCCATGGGTGCTGAGCCTGGAGATGTTCCCTGGAGCCCCAGCAGCCCAGACTGCTGTTGGCTGCCTTGGAACTTCCCTCTGCACAGATATCTTTTTGTTCCAGCACTTTTGGTTGTACTGAGGAGTCTTTCAGTAATTAGCTCATTAAATTAGCAGCCAAATTCAAGCCTGTATTTCCTCTCCAGCAGGTTCACCAATATCTTTAAAAACCCCTTTCTTATTCCTATCAGAATTTTGTATCACCCCTGAGTCTCAGAGAGTTCATAATTTGTGTGAGTGACATTGCTGTGAAGTTCAGGGCAGAACTTTGGATTAAATGAAATTACTGAGAATTTTGGAAGCCAATGTATTTTAAGATAGTGAGATGCAATTGCTCCCACAGCAAGAAGAAATTGGTGCAAGTTGGATTTTTTTCATTTGACTTTTAACTCAGTAGTAGCACTGGGACTTCAGTGATTAGTCTCTACAGTGGTTTTGTTTTGACAGGAGCTGTGAATTTCAGGCACAAGTTTTGAATTAAACATGTCAAAGGTCATTTTTATGTTGATTTAATTTCTTTAAATGGTTTCTTTTAACAATAGGAGTTTATAAAATTGTATTTTGGTCTTCCACTACAGGGATTATAAATGTTAGCATATCCTCAGTAGCTGAGGAGTTGTTCTTGACCTGATTCCAAGTACCTCTGTAAATTAGTTTGTGTTCAGTAGTATCCACCGTGTATAAAAATATTCCCCTGAAGCTCCTGCTAAATGTTAAAAGTAGATTTTTTTTTTTTTTCCTACGCAGGCCTGGCACTTGAGTTCATATTTTGTTGAATAGATGCTAAAAGACCGCTCGGTACTGGTGCCCTGACGGCAGCGCGAGCGGGGAGCAGCACCGCGGGTCCCTCACCACGGCTGCTCCCAGCCTTGGGCCCTTCGGAAATGGATCCATCAGCACAGGACAGCTCTCCTTGGGCTCTCTTCACCTGCAAAAAGCAGCTTTTACTCTCACACGAGACCCAGGCTCCTCGGTGCCTCTGGGGAGGGACAGCCCCGCATTCGCCTGCTCATCAAGGGTGTTTAATTACAGGGAGGAGTTTTTCTGAAGTTATGAAAGTGATGGAACATCAGCAGTTGAGGATACCTCCTAGAATTCATGTTCCCAGTCTAAGGGATTCTTCAGGTTTTTCCAGCTTCTTTTCTCATCATCCATTTTTTACCTCAGCTTGCAGTTAATTTCCATATTAAGTACAAAATTGCAATCTTGACAACTACTGAGGTCTTTCATTGCTTTTTACACCAAGTAATTGAAGGACATGTGGCTGCAGGATGTCGTGCTTTGACAGTCAGCTACAAACTCAAGGCTATTCCTTTCCTGGATCCAGAACTTTGCTTATTTCTGAAGCCAGGTATGTATTTGTGTTAGTGAAGTTGACATTTTCAACAGAGAATTTAATAGTGGAGAAGAGCAGCTCAGGCTAATTTCCAGCATTCTTACTTTCTGTCTTGTTTGTGCCCTGAGAGTTTTACTCTTCAACAGCATCTGCCTTCCCACTTGATCTCACAGACAGAGTTTTGTATTTAGTTTGTTTTTTTTTTCCACAGAATTTGAAGTTCACTGATCTTCTCAATAACTAGACCAGGACTTGTCAAAGACATTAATTCTAATTAAGATTATCTATCTGGGATGTATTAAATAGTTCACTGTAGGAAGCTAAATGGAGTTTAATTTTTTGTAAGTGTCGTTTCTTAGTTATGTAAAGTATTAAAATAAATTAATATCCAGGTACACTATAAGACTTTTTCATTTTTCTGCTATGTTTTACTTTTCAAAGACCTTTTAGATTCTTCTCCTGTTTAATGTAACAGAAATTTAACACCATTTGGAGCTAGTTCTATGCAGCAACTGTATGGAATGGTATCTCTGCCCCAGTTACCCAGTTCCTGGCTGTAGCATTTGGGATAAGAGAGGTGCTGCAGCACCATTACAAATGTGAAAACCACTCTGGATTCTCATTCATAAATTAGATGTTGTTTAATTAGGAAGGCTTGATTTTGTGATCATTTTTCCTAGTTAAATATTTGCTTTCCTCTTCTCTTCTGTAATTCTAATTTACTATTCCAGCTTCTTACAGACCCCAGTTACTTGTTTTAAGCATATTCCCTAACCATATTCCCAGTCTTTTTTTTTTTTTTTTGCATCTACTTTTCTTTTACACCCTAATGCATAAATTGCCTTGTACTTGCTAGAAGTGGTGACCAACACTAATGTTTTAAACAGTAGCTTATGCCTTTCTATCCCTACATCAGGTGAGAGTCAATGGGTGGTACTTCGATGCATTAGGTGTTTAGAAACAATGGTTTCCCTTTCATTTTTTTAATTGTGTGATGTAAATTTGTCATTGCTGGTAACCAGTAGCATTAAGAGAAAGAACTGAAATTAGGCAGGGAGAGGATTTGCAGGTGGGAATTTCCTTGGGTGGGAAGGAGAGCTGTGCAGTGGCTGACCCACTTTAAGGTTAGGCCTCAATATGTGCTAAACGATGCTCCATCTGTGCAATCTCAGGGAAGGTTTTAGGGCATTTTTTAATTGCCTACTATAAAATCACAACTGCATTGTCATAACTCCCTCTCCCAGCAGGCAATGTTTGGGTTGTGAACAGGTAATGCCCAATTTGCTCAGTGCTCCTTGATCCAAGCTGTCATCACAGCCAGGACAGCATGGAGAGCAGAGGAGCCAAGCATCTCTTTGTGGGCTGTTGTGCTGTTCTTAATGGGAATCCTTTCGAAAACCTACAGCCTTGTGGTATTTTCCTCTGGTTAAAATTGCCAAGAACGATGAGTAGTAACAAAGCCAAGTCTGGCACTTGGGTTCTGTGCAAGCCAGGCTTGCCCAGGTCACATCAGAGGGCTCAGTTGGGTCAAGCTGCTCCATGGTGGGCAAGAGCTTTGGCTTTGCTGTGGTCTTGCGCTGCTTTAGCTCACTTTCATTAATTGCCTCAGGTCTGAGAAAGATTGTCATGAAGATAAACTCCCTCTGGGGTGCTGTGAAGATGAGCATTACATTTTTACAAGGTACTAAGAAAACTTGGTAATGAGACCTTGTGAGCACAGAAAACTGTACAGAGGATTGCACTGGGATTGGCTGCACGGTGGATCCAAAAGTCATTACTGCATGTTAATAGCAAAAAATATTTACCAGTTGCTGTTATTTTTATATTATAAAGATGGAGTTGAATTTAAAAGACACTCCCATCTGTGACTGGTAAAACAGAGGCTTTTGAAAAGGACGTTTGCTTTCTAAGGAATACATTTAGGGTGTGTATACATCAGCAAGCAGCCCGAGACACCATTCTGGTAGTGGATCAAAAACAAGTTTTACTGAGGTCTGAGCAACTATAAAACTGTGTGTTGCAGCTCTGTTCAGACTGAGGAATTCATGCTAATAGACCCAGTCATGGTCTGGCTGTACATCAGTGGCAGGGATTCAGAGCTTTTATTTTTAATTCTGCATACTAATTGCTTAGTGGCTTTTAACTCTAGTCATGTTTTCTTAACAGATCTTTTATATATTCTGCATCTTTTACATCTTTCTTCCAAATAGTAATGAAAATAGATGCAAAAAATAAGTTTAGATAGTGCCATCAAAATATTTTAGATTTGCAGCTGCTTAAGTAAGTCTCTTTCTTTTTCTTTCTTTCTTTCTTTTCTTTCTTTCTTTCTTTCTTTCTTTCTTTCTTTCTTTCTTTCTTTCTTTCTTTCTTTCTTTCTTTCTTTCTTTCTTTCTTTCTTTCTTTCTCTCTTTCTCACTTTCTCACTTTCTCACTTTCTCACTTTCTCACTTTCTCACTTTCTCACTTTCTCACTTTCTCACTTTCTCACTTTCTCCCTCCCTCCATCCCTTCCTCCCTCCCTCCCTTCCTTCCTGGAGTCCTTCCTGGAGTCCTCCCTTCCTCCCTTCTTCCCTCTCTCCCTCCCTTCCTCCCTCCCTCCTTTCTTCCCTTTCTTCCCTTTTTTTCTTAAGATGTAATCAGATCCTCTCTCATGGGACTTTGTCAAAAGATCAGGTTCATCTGTTGAAACTCAAGGGCATTTCCATCTGTTTCTCTCCACGCAAATCTGCCTTATGTGGAAATTATATCAGCTTTGGCATCTTCAAGTTGAACAGGGACAACCATTTTGACAATGTACTTCAGGCCTGTGTCAAAATGCTGCTTTCAGTATCCCACAGTGACCTGCTAGTAAGCAATTACTCATCTTGGGAGTCTTTATGTGAAATATGAATAACACCACCACAGGCTTTCTATTGGTATAATGAGAGGGATCTAGAACAGCACAAATGCAGTTTTAAGTTCACTTACTTGAATTTATTTATATAGTGACATCTGAAATACAGGTATGACTGAAGTGCCATGTGAAACAGGAGCTTGTTGAGAGCTCTCACTAGGCTTGTAAAAGAGAGAAATGCAAATTTTTTCCGTTTCTATACTTGCAAACCCATTTTGTTTCCTGCATGCACTGTAAAGCATCCTCATATATCCAGCTACTCTGCAATTAGTTTCAATCTGTAAATTGTCACTGCATTGTGTATTTCCCATAAACTGGAAAACTTTAAAATTAAAGTACACCATGTTCACGCTTCTCAACAGGAAAACAGCAGATCTTGCATAATATCAGCCTGAATTCAAACAGTGACTTTTTATTTGTGACACTTTCATTCAGAGCTGTCCTTGTCTTGCAAGAGGGGACAAATCTTGGATAGTTAAAGATGGTAACACCCAGGTTTATTTTTGCCACATAAAGAAGGTCCATGGAAGTGGAAAGTTGCTCTCAGTTAAGTCAGTGTATCATCTGTATAGTCAAACATGCCTAATGGGCTCATTCCCATATATCCAATGCTTAATTCCCTAAACAAGAATCCTTAAGAGGAAGATGATGGTTGGATTGGGCTAGTGTGCTCAAGCAGGGACCTTTGCCAGCACACAGCCTGTTTTAGTGCCTAGCTCACTTAAGCACTAAACCAACTCTCTCTCTGAGGTGGTTTGGGTTGTGATAAATCTTGGTGAGGTTTCCTGCAGAAGGCAAGACTCATCTGAAGTCCTGGACAGAACCATCCCATTCTTCCTGGACTGGGAGGTGACAAATAGCAAAGCACTCGAGTGGGTATGGAGTATCCTGAGCTTATTATTTTAAAGTAATAGCAAGTTATACCCAGTGGTGAATTTGAAAAGTTGAAATCTACTGAAGACAAGAAAATACTTTGTCTTTCAAAATAATCTGATTTATTGGCTAGTTTAAAATTTATCATATAATCAAATCTGTCATCTGTTAATATTGTTAATATTAGTCAATGGTAGTATCCGTATTTTCTATGAATGTGTATTCATTTTTTCAGTAATATCCAAAACTAAGCCCCTCTTAGAACTCAGTTTTTGGAGTGTCTGACCCAGGATCATATGAGTTCCATTACCTGTTTAGAAGTCATGTCTTAATCTGTATTCTGACCTCAATATCTGAAGGACTTCCTGCAGTAGCTAGGAATTGCTTTCACTTGGCTAAAGAAAGAATTTAAATATTTAGATAGCTCAGGTTTTCAAGGCATCACAGTCATGTGTATCTTCAGAAAAATAATAATGTAAGGGACAATGAAAGGGGCTGAATTTTGATGTTTACAATTTGGAAGATGCTTGGATTTTGAATAGCCAAAGAATGTGACTCTTTCGGTTTCTGGATAAATTTTTTTAAACATGCAGATTTTTGCAGAGAGTGTTTTTATACATGCATGCATTTTTAAATTTATTAATGTGTCTCTCCTGGAATCATACTGAAAACTCATGCATTTGTTATACAGAAGAAAAATATTAATGTGTGTACAGGTATCTGTGGGGTTTTGTTTTATTTGATCAGCATTGCTGTTGTGTAGATAATGCTTGTTCTGCACAGCTGTGATGTGATTTGAGGAATGTAAAGGTATCTGCCCATGGAAAAAGAAACCAGTTACTCAGTACTTCCTGAAAACACTTCAGGGGAGAATCAGAGCCACAGAAGCACACCTGGAGTATGATAAAAGCACAGCATTGGATTGCAGTTCACTGAATTTGCTTGCACTGTTTAATTAATGCTTTTGAACCAGATGACTGTCCAATATTTGGTGTTTGGGCTGGGGAGTGCTAGTCTAAAGTAATTTGGAATATGGAGAAGGAGACAGCATTTGGAGCAAGAAAAAATAAATCATGCAGTTACGTTCTGGTCACCTTGGAATACCCTGCAGTTTCTGACAGGGAAGCTGTTCAAAATCTTCAGTCACATTAATTGATATGGGGAGTTACTGCGGGAAGCACCAGGAGCCCGCACCATGAGCACGTGTAGGTGTGGCTCTGGAGGAGCTGCTGCTGCTCCTCCTGCCCAGGGCCCACAGGAGGGCAGGGAGGCACCGAGGGGTCCTGTCTGCTAAATAAACACAGGCAGCACTGGGGAGGGGATCCTCTGCTAAATAAACACAGCCTGCACTTGGGGAGGGGATCCTCTGCTAAATAAACACAGCCTGCACTTGGGGAGGGGATCCTCTGCTAAATAAACACAGCCAGCACTTGGGGAGGGGATCCTCTGCTAAATAAACACAGCCAGCACTTGGGGAGGGGATCCTCTGCTAAATAAACACAGCCAGCATTGGGGAGGGGATCCTCTGCTAAATAAACACAGCCAGCACTTGGGAGGGGATCCTCTGCTAAATAAACACAGCCAGCATTGGGGAGGGGATCCTCTGTTAAATAAACACAGCCAGCACTGGGGAGGGGATCCTCTGAGGGGGAACGGGCAGGGAAGGGTTGAGCAGCAGCGTGAGGAATATTCAGGTCATTCTGCTGTGTAACGAAATCCATCTCGCTGATATTTTGAGCGCTTTGTCACAGTGATGATGGCACGGTGGCTCCTGCCCGTGGCTGGCCCTGCCTGTCGCTGCAGGTGGGTGTTCTGCCTGAACCTGACCTTGGCCAGTTCAGCAAGCCCTGACCTGGGCTCTGCTATCCTGCACACCTCTTCCATGGGAGACACTGGTTATGTTCATTTCTATAATTCACTAGCATACCATGTTTACTTTTAACATCTCTTTGAAAAGCAAATGGGAGAGAAGAAAATGTAAAAGCTAAATAAGCTTCAGGTGTTCTGTTTATTTTTCCCTCTCAAAAAGTGTTGATCTCTCATTCAAGGCAGGTAGGAGAAGTAATAAAATTACATCTTTCCAGTTTTAGCTTCAAGCTTTTGTGGTTTAGGCATGTGGGAGTTTAATTATGAAAAATTATTGATATTTTTTTAGGAACACCTTAGAAAACTTATATTCTGTAGAATGCCTAATATTCTGCTGAGAAGTTAACAACAAAAATGTTAACAGCTTACTTGTTTTTCATAAGCCCTATATTTGCTCTCCTTCAGTTCCTCTCAATGTCCTTACAGCACCAAAAATAAATACAAACATACAAGGCCAGAACACTGTGGAGTCTCCATCCTTGGGGACATTCCCAGATACTGGAAAAAGTCCTGAGGAGCCTGTCTAGTGCTGACCCTGGTTTTAACAGGAGGTTGGATGGATGATGGTGTTATTTGGTTTCTGCCTCCATCTTTAGGATCCCGCTGGTTCTTTTCACTTGTTTTCATGTTTGCTCCCCAAGACATGTTTTGCTTGTGTCTACACACCTGTGCTTACGTCCTGTGATTAATCAGCTGGAAAAGGCTTCATTTTTTTAAATTTCCATGTTGCAGTGACAAACTGATTATTTTTCCTTAATATCATGTATCAAGAATTAATATTCAAGTCAGCCATTAAGTTCTTCATTTGTCTTAAAGAAATGTTATTTTCCATACTGCTGTAATGATGTGTCCAGAAGAACTACTGGACAGTTTATAGCTCTTAATGTTGATTTAGTTTTAATAATCTCAATAGTCTCACCTGCCACTGTGTTTTCCTAATTTCCTAAATATTTTATCAGTTTTAAAATGTTGGTATTTGGGACATTATCAATTATCAGACAGTGAAATGTAGATTTACTTCCTCTGTGTTATTTGGCCACATAGAACCTTGTGAGTAGAGCTAAGCATTGCCTTTTTCACTGAATTGTATCAGTGCCACAAGAACATCTCAGAACAGTAGGGCTCAAGGCTATAAGCCTTGTGAGGGGGAATTGTGTTTTAAACTGATTAGAACATATAAGTAATTTTCAGAAATGTTTATAAAAATTAAATAGCCGTCTTTTTATTTTAAAAAGTATATACAAGGACATCACTTCTCTTTCACAGAAAAAAAGTATGTGACATTTTTCTCCATTCACTTTAAGTATGTGAGACCTTTGAGATTATCATTGCTGTCAGCTGTAGGAAAAAAACATTCCCTAAATTCTTTTTCCTGAGGAGTGTTCATTCGGGTGCTGAGTAAATACCTTTCTTGATTCCTCATTTTATAAGGCATATGTATCCCTTCTGAAGCACCTCACTGCAAATCAACTGTAATGGAAGCCCTCATCCGAGCTTTTACTGGGAGGATAAACACTCCAGCAGTTCCCTTCCAAAGTGTTTACCTGGCTTTTTCACAGCTGACTCAGTGGATCAGAGCCTTTTAAGGCAGTCTGCCTGGCATTTTGTCACTAATCTCTGCAAAGCTTTTCTAGTTCTCATATGATTAATAGTGTAGGATGCTATTCATTGAGGAAAAAGTAAAACATTTTTTCTGTCTTGCTGACTAATATAGATGTTAAATTGCTAGATCCATTTACTTTCCAGGTTTAGTCTCAAAGGCAAATAATGCCAGTATTGAACTACAAGAATGGACAAAGAAAATACCATTTAACTCCCTCTCCTTGCCAAACCAAAATCTTTTAATTTGCAGAGATTCAGCAATGTCATTAAACTACTGAAAAACTATTTCCTTCCAGCAGGTTGTTGTCATATTTCTGAGACCAGAAGGCATCGTTAAGTCCTCTGGGGTCTTGATGTCTCTTCTAAGACAATGTTACGCATTCTAAGATACATGCTCCGCTTGCAATTGAATAAGCTGATGGCTGATTGGAATTGCATACATGAGGCAAAGCCACAGAGATCACAGAGAACTGCAGGTAAGGCCCCGGATCTGAGATGAACACCTGCTAGCAAAGCAGAAACCCAAGGGACTGGGGACTGGTGCCACAGCTGCCATCTGTATCCTCTGCCCGTTCCCAGCAGGGACCCCCACCTGGGCATCAGGAAGGTGCAGAGGGCTCAGTTTGCCTGACAAAGCTGCTGAAGTGCTGCTGTTCCCTGCTAACATACCCATAGCTGGAGGTGGTGTTTGTATAACCACGACCTGCTTGCTTCGTTTCCACATGGTTTGTACACAGGGCACGGAGCTGAGTGGACCAGAAGTGAGAAGCGTGGTTTGACTGTATTGTTCCTGATTATACTAAGATTTTTCTCTGTTTCCTTTATTATTATATCTTTATTCTGTCTTCTCACCCATTTATCTCTCCATAGCCTAGAGCTGGTAGCTCCTCATTGCTCCTGTTTATTCTATTTATTTAGTTAGCTTGTCTCACTAAGATTCAGTGAGAACCTTGTTCTGCAAAGCACAGGGTTCCACATGACCAAAAGAGTCATTCAAGGGAGTCTGCTTGACACTCCCTGTCTGCAATCAAAAGGAAAAATGAGCATAGGGAAGCATATTTGATATATAGTTATGGGCAAATTTAAGTAGCTCTTAACACTCCTATCAGATTCTCATGAGCAAATGATAGCATAGACCTGTCTGCTGTCCTGCTAAAATCACTTACTGTCGAGTGTAAAATACCTACTTGCACAGTATCAGCATGTTTAGAACTAGTGCTGTTTTGTAAAGTGATGATAGTGATTTACTTTGTATTATTCAATTTAAAAAGAAATAGAGTTAAGCACTGCTTAGGAAATACAGCAGAGCCCGCCTATGAAATATGTATTTTCAAATCTCTTACTTGTTGTTATTGATGGTGATTCAATTCCATCATGAATTGCATTTCTAGTTTATATTCAGGACTGTTTTGGTTGGGAATAAGACAGTGCCGGGTTCTGCGGCCTTGGCTTTGTCAGCACTTGCAGCTTTGAACTCAGCTCTGTTCCAGCGATGTCCTGCCCTCTTACCTCATTGAGTTCAGCCCTCAGAAGCTCATGGGTTCTGTGGAGACAGATTTGAGAGGCTCCAGCTCATTTTTGTGAGCTGTTAGGTGACTCCCAGCTCCTGCTGCTGCTGAGCCAGCTGGTTGCTTTGGAAGATCAAGCCTTAGGAGACCACTTCTTCTCTGGCTGTAAATGTCCCTTTAGTGTTTCCTCCAAAACACCCTTAGCAAGATGCTGTTAGGATTTAGATGATGAAGGGTTAATAGTGTCAGTGCAGAGCTCAAGCAGTTAAATAGACACAGATCAAAATACTCCAGTGTCTAGAGGGATGTGTCTAAATGAACACTGCAAGGTTGGCAGGCCTCCAAATTAGCATAGCTTAAAGAATTCAAAGTACATTTAATTGGATCCTTCTAATCCCTTTTCCCTTAGAATGAGCATTTTAACAGTTTAATTCCCCCGCATCCCTTACTCCAGTGGCCCATCTAAAATAAATACTGTGAACTATAAAAGGCCTAGAGAAGTTCTTGCTGAAGCTAGTGGCAACAGGATGGAGCCCTCAACAGTCCACTCATTCAGATGGGATGTTTGGAATTGCAGAGGGTATCAGGACTAAGCTTGGCACCCAACAGGTTCAGCTGCTGCCTGCACAAGGAGCTTCAGGGGCTGTGTTGGGATGGTGTTGGCAGCTGTGGAATGGGTGGTTACAGGATAGGAGCTGGAGGCAGCACAGGGGGCTGTGTCCAGGTGCCCAGGGAGTCCCTTGGGTGCCAGGTCAAGGAGGTGACAGCTGGGCAGGGGAAGGTGCCCCACTGTTTGCCAGAGCAAGACAAGGGAAGAGTGCATGAGAACCACCAGCCAGGACACTGCTTTTAATGTATTTAATTCACTTTAATCCACTTTAATTACTAGTTAGTAAGTGAACTGACTGGCTGTTTGTGATGACGTTTTTACTGCCTTTAATGGCCCTTGTTCAGTGTTTGGCACCTGACATGGATTATAAGATCCCTGGGGCAGAGAAACACTGGGAAACCCTTCCTGAGGAAAGCCTGGATAACAGCTCTATTGGATTTAACCTGGTCTTCTCAGTAGGTAGATCAAACCAGAATTTTATTTTCCAGGAATCTGCAGTCTTTTGAATATGAAACTGGATACTAGTAAAATGTCAGCCCTCATCCTGCCAGAGGGACCACGGTGTTCATACAGTGCTGAATGAGGCTTGCTGCAGTTACAGGATCCTTAATGTAGATATCCCATGACATGGTAAAACATGAATAACCAGCTCCCCAACAGCAAGGGCCCTAGTAAAAGCAGTCTTCAAAGCTGCTCAGCCCCTGTGCCAAAACCAGACTGGGTGATTTATCATCTAGCCTAATGTCAAATAGATTGAAGTTTGAGCTCTCGAAGTACTGTGAAATGTCATTATTAGTTAATTTTTAGGGAAACAATTACAAAAGTGTTTGATTTTTTTACATGGATACAATTGTCTCCTTCAGCTGTTGTGCAACTTTAGACTACATTGTCACCTGCTTCTTCGGGCACCTAGCTAAAGAAGACAAGAAGACTCTCAGAGGTAGAGATATTTCACAGGATGGACAGAGATCGCTTCACTTCGTGCAGCAGAACCCAGAAGTTCTACAGCAGGTGAATTCACAGTCTTTTCTATGGGGTATTACTATATTTCTGAATTCTTCTGGGTTTTGGTGTACTTAACACCAGGCAGCAGTGGCTATTTAGTGACAGAACAAGTCTTCCCACTCTGGGATGCAACCCTGAGTAGCTTCAGCTGTGTTCTCATGACAACCAAGGACTGAAGTTATTTTTTGTCGCCCTGAAAGTGTGGGCTCTGTACTTGCCTGTGCAGCATCTTACAACTGGGTGTTTCATTTTTGCTGATGAAAAGATGTATGTGAGATCATCAATACATTTCTATAGACAAATGTGAAGAAAAGTCTCTAAAGTATTTTAGAAGGAAGAAGAACAAATTTTGGAATTGAACTACATAATTTGGTAATGAAATGTGTAAATGGAATGTCTGTATGCTGTCAAGTTTAAATATTTTATTTTGCAGTAAATGATTCACTGGGATTTTTTGCTATTAAAGGTAAATACAATAGAAATTAAATCTCATGCTTTTGAAAAGGAAGTGGCCTCTGTAGTGCTTCGGAGAGATTGCCCCTTCTCAACTCCCTCAGGTTTTCACAGCTCAAGTGCATTACAGAAAGACCAAGATGTTCATAGCCACAGATCTCCATGTTTGCTCCATGCCATATGCCCCTAAATTCTCATTAAACTATTTGAAATTGCTTATTTACAGGAATCTAATGCAGTGGCAGAGCTGCCATTTAAAGAGGTGTGTTTCACAGGTCATGAGGCTTTTAATGAAGACAGAAATTAACTAAATGCAAATGATGCATGTGGTCATTTGTGTTTCCCTGCTAGCTGGGTGTCATTTGTAAAAAGCCTGGCATACAGTCACCAGTTGCTATTGGCATTTGCTTGCTGTTCTAATTGACGGTGAAAAGGAACTAATGGTAGCTAATACAATCTTGGCACTATATTCCGAGAATATTAATGGTGTTTATTATTGACAACGTTACCAGAATAGGATGATTCCCTTGTCATATTACAGGTTCTTATGTTTTACACGCCTGACAGGGGTTTCCTGGAAGCAGCAGTCAGCGACTGGGGCTGTTGAATTGCTCCACACCGCACCTCACGTGCAGTGACTGAAGGGGCAGAGCAGCAGGCTGGGCTCTGGGCTGCCGTCCATTTGTGGCAATCCTGATGTAATACTTTGTCTGTTAATATGCAGTAATCTTTCATTTTACAGCGTATGACTAGGCAGCGATCTGTCTTTATTAACTTCAGATTCTGCGGAATACGTTATATTTATTTTCAATGCAGGCTTTCACATACTCTTTTAAATATTAATGGCTGGTCTCCAGCAGTCAGCATAAATATGATTTGCATTAGCACTAGAAATATCATATTGAGTGCCTTTGATGTCAACTATTCAGGGTACTAATATCTGACATCATCTCTCGAGGTCACTGACAGCTTTGACCTTTATTCTCATGCACAGTTTCTGTAGTCTCAGAAGCTCTTTTGAATTGATTTGAAATTTTGACTCTTCCCTTTATGAGGCAGTAAAATTGATAATTATTCAGATGGGAACTGAGCACTGAGCGAAAAATCAATTCCACCCGCTCTCTGCTGCGTCTAAAATTACTTCTGAGTCTGCTGGACTGAACGGATGGCCAAGGTAAAAGCAGCAGGCAGGAATAGTGGAGAGGATTAGCTGGACGAAACTAATAGCCTAAAGGGATGGCTTTGGAGATGAGGGACTGTGTCGGTTGGGGGTTATTATTAGCAATGATGGGACTCATTGATCATATGTTTACATCAGGTTTCCATTGGGTTATAAATCAGCCCTGAATAGAAGCGGAACCCAGGGCCTGGTGCGCTACCGGGGGCACGGCGTATTAGATTATTCTCACTTTCACACTTGGATGAAAAGTGAGACATTGATTATTCATTGGCTGGCCATTAAACACTGGGTTTATAGACAATTTGACTATCATGGAAGCTAATGAACAAGATTGTTGCTTCCTAACCAGTGGTTTCAGTTTTCAGGACATCTGTTTGGTCTCAGTAATGCATAACCCTGTTAAGGAGCGGGTCACAGACGCTTAACGGTGCTGAAAATCTGCGGCCTGCAGGCAAACCGTGCTCCACTTTGGGGGTTTGGCAGCCCGGTACCTGCACCGCTGCCGCGCTCCCTGCACGGTTCCCGGCCGGGACTCGGGGTGCCGTGAGGCTCCGGCGGCAGCCGGGCAATGACCCGGCCCCGTTCGGGCCCGCAGCGCCGCGTGTGCCCCGGGCCAGCGGGGAACTCGGGCAGCGCCGGCCCCGCGCCCCCGCCCGGCACGGCACGGCCCGGCATGGCACGGCCCGGCACGGCACGGCCCGGCACGGCCCGGCCCGGCACGGCACGGCCCGGCCCGGCCCGGCACGGTCCGGCACGGCACGGTCCGGCATGGCACGGCTCGGCACGGCCCAGCCCGGCCTGGCTCGGTACGGCCCGGCACGGCACGGCCCGGCACGGCCCAGCCCGGGGCCGAGCAGCCGCCTCGCCGGAGGAGAAGGCGGCGGGCGGTAGGCGCGGGCCGGGCCCGCGGGCGGCGGGAGGGGCTGGCGCTGGGCGGGGGCGGCTCTGCGAACCGGGGGCGGCTCTGCGAACCGGGGCCCTCCCGCAGCAGGAACCGCCGCCCGCCCGCCCGCGAGTGCGGGTGTCCCGCTGTCCTACGGGCAGCGTCCCTGCTCCCTGCGGTATCGCTAGCGGCAGCAGCAGCAGCAGCAGCGGCAGCAGCAGCAGCAGCAGCAGCGGCAGCGGCAGCAGCAGCAGCAGCAGCAGCGGCAGCAGCAGCAGAGCAGCAGCAGGAGCAGCAGCAGCAGCAGCAGAGCAGCAGCAGCACCATCCCCATCACGCCCGCGCTGCCAGCGGGGCGGTCGCGGGGCGGTCACGGACAGCGCGGTGTGACCGCGCCTGAGGCGCTCACGGCCCGGCCCCGAGCAGCCGAGCTGTGCGATCGCCCCCCTCCTTCCCACCTTGCTCCCTCACGTGTGCCCCGCAGCAGCTCGGGGCTTTAATTTGGTGACTGTACAAAGAGGGAGCAATAGAGACCATGGACGTGAAACGGCTCCGTAATGCTCAGGGGCAAGTTTCGGCATCCCTGTGAAACTCGGCAGGAGCTGCTGGCTCTGGCTGGGTTTTGCCGTATCCGGGATCGAAGCCCCGGGCTAGCAGCTCTAGCTCTCCGTCTACAGACAGCCACTCGGTGAGGGGATCTTACAGCCACACCGAATTAATGTGGGAAGTAATTTCAGATATATGGGTAGAACACGGTATTAAGTTTACTGCACTCAACTATTGATTTTATGTTCTGTTCTAAGCATTTTGATAAATAATTTTTTAAAGCTCCTACTTTACTGTTTTTCTCAGATTGAGACTTGAAGCCTCTGCTGCTTCACTTTATAAAGGAAAGTGTAATTTTTGGTCTTAAGAAGCTACCTTTACCTTCTGTTAATGCTGATCTTGCTAAACTCTACACATTAGGCTGTTAGCTCCATTTTTGTGTAGTAAAATACAATTCCTTTTAGTGCTTTCCAAAAATTGATGAGTTTCGTAGCATCTTTCACCTGCAGTTCTAACAAATATTAATGAATAAGGCACGATAGGTAAAGAATTCCTGCTTGCATCTCCAAAATGATTCTGTGCTGGGTGCAGAGAGGATAAATGGCTGGTTGATTGAATAGAACCAGGATTTCAGTGACATTCCAGTGTTCACTTTCTTTCCTGGGTGTTTCCTGGCCAGGGATGTAAAGTACAGGGAGGCCAAGTGAGGGACAGCAGTGCCCAGTGATTACTTGCTGCGCATCATTTTCAGAAAGATCATGTGGACAGTGAGCTGGGTTTTTGATGAGACTGAGCACTGCAGCAGTGTTGGGCTCCCCTGGCCATTGGCAGGGCTGCTCCACGTCTCAGCCCGGGTGGGCCCCAGCACCCAGAGAGGTGCTTTGGGGCCAGGTCTGTAGGATGAGGCTGCGCCCGAGCTGAGCCCTTCGAGGGTTCAGCATTTCAGGGGGCAGCAGGTGGGCAGTGCTGGAGGAGGGCACCATCAGCAGAGACATGAGAAGAGCCAGCATTACTTGTCAGAGGAGGAGCTGGTGGAATACAAGGGCTGGAGAGGGACCTCTGGGACAGGAGTGTTGCAGTAGGTAAGAGAGAAGGTCTGCAGGTGGATAAAGACCAGAGTCAGAAGCCAGGAGCCAGGATGGGATGAGAGGTGCTGGGGAGGAGGAGGGGATGATGTCCTGGGGAACTTGCCCAGGCTGCCCAGTGGGGCAGAGTGTGACCAAGGACCCAGTGATGGGAGGCACCAAGTGAAGGAGCATGACAGGCACTGCCTGGAAAGTGGAAACAAGGGAGTAGAGGTGCCAGTAGCAATAAAAAATCAAGTGACATTACTACAGCAAGAAATTATTATAAATTGCGACTTTCCTTTTTCCTGTTTATATAGTGAAATAAGTGATGTTTTTGTTTTTCAGATAAGGCTCATTGTCTTATACAGCTAGTGTGGAGTTATGCACAGTAATGGAGATAAAAACCTGCAGTGGAACTGTGTTTATAGCACGTGCTTCATAAGACCAGGCAGCAGCACTTGCACATAAGCACATCACAAAGAAATCTAATTAGCACTAGCAAGAGGGTTCTGGTGCAAGGTGTTGAGTGCCTAAGACCCTCACTCATATTTGTGAGCATATACATCATCTTAAGAGCAGATCAAACCCACAGGTGTGATTGTTCATAGGCTTAAAATCCAATGTGTTTAAAAGCTCAGCTGAATTAGGATGAGGGTGCTCAGCTTTTGCTGGCTCAAGGCTTGAAAGTTTTGATATAATAGTGAGAAGGATTTTCCCTGGGACATCTCTTTCAGCCTCTTAGCCCAATTTAAAAATGTTATCCAATACTACCATAACTTACTTTATTAATTGAAAGGGATGGTGATATACCAGCTGTAGCCGAGCCAGCAGAGATTTGGGTGGCTAAGCAACAGAAAAAGCACCATGTTGAGTGAGCC